GTAGTGACCGTCGAAGACCTCGGGAGCCATGAAGTTGGGCGTGCCCACGATGGACATCATCGGCCCGTCGATGGCCGAGATCGTGGCGGAACCCAAGTCCCCGATCTTCACGCGCCCGGTGTGTCCGTGTATGAACACGTTATCGCATTTGAGGTCGCGGTGAATGATCGGGGTCTCGGCGGCCTCGCAGTGGAGGTACCGAATGCCCAGCAGTATCTGCCGGCCCCATCGCCTTATCAGCGCGTCCGACGGCAGCCCATTCGCACGGATGAAGGATTTCAGGCTTCCGGCATAGAACAGCTCGCATATGACATCGACCTTGTCGTACTCATGAGAGTCCAACCAAAACGCGATGAGTTTCAGGACGTAGGGTGATTTTATCCGTGTGAGCATGTCGAACTCCTTTCTGATCTCGGTCTCGACCCTCTTGGTCAGTTCGATGTGGTCCAGGTGAACCTTGTACCATGCCACCTCTTTTCCGGCCTCTCTATCGTAGCCTCTGTACACTATCTTCGCGGCGCCTCGGCCTATGATGTCTCTGTACCTGACGAACCTCTCATCGGGGCTCGTCTCGACCACCTGCTTCGTCTGCATCTCATGGGTGGACACCGTACCCTATTACGAGCCTTACATATTATGTCGCTCCCGGAGGTTTCGCTTTCTGTCTATCTCTTCCCGACGAAGACCTGAACGCTATGCTACGGCAGTCGACGTCTTCGACGAAGTACACTAGATCTAGCATCTTGAGTACCAGGCTCTCCGCTAGGATGCGAGCGTGGGACCTGCTCTTCTTCGGGAAGCCGTCTCTGTCGGGCTTGAGCTCTATCTCCACCTCGTAGATGGCGGAGCCGTCGTCGCCCGGCGTCTCGTCGAAGCTGTCCCGCGCTTCCTCTCGGTCCTCACCCGCTCCCTTCACGTTCGTCACGACGCTCAGCTCGAAGGAGTAGTGCTTGTACTCGTAGGTGACGCGGTCGGTCCACCTGGAGTGCTCTGAATCCCGGATGATGCTAGCCTCCA